AATACACAACTAATAGACTTTAACACAGCTATTGTTTATCAAGTCAATGCCATCTATGGCCCATACGCGCCGTCAGCTCTATTGATTTAGCTAATGGATTGTCATTTAGCTAATGCATTGTCATTTTATTTTGACCTGGTCACGCTAGATGGCCCTGATATTAAAAAACATAATAAACTACCTTCGCGTTTTGTTCCTCTATTTTGAAACGTTTCTTCAGTTTATTTATTTCTTAATTTTGTTTTATTTATTTTTTATTTTAAAGTTGTTAAATTAAATATCTAACAATATGAATGGTTTTAGTACTTAAAAACGTTTTTGATTATTTAATGATTTATTATTTTAAAACGTTGATTTTTTTATTGAATTGAACAAAACGCGCAATCGGTTGTTTACTTGTTTGTTTGTTTTGGAAGCGAAATTTTGCGAATTGACACGGATATTTTAAATGCTATTAATTAAAATCAGTCTACCTGTTAGCTACTTTGCGAGCAGTCGTGCCAATAAGCCAATCCTTGTACGCTTAACGCGGAAATCCATCGGTTCTCAAACTTTTGTAAGATTTCGCTATGTCTTTTTGTGGCATATGTAATGAAGATGTTGGTGACGGAGTACATTGCACATCCTGCGACCAGGTGCTACATTTTCATTGTGCAGGCTTAACCGAGGGAGGCTACAGAAAACTGGGCGCTGATAGGAAACAAGCTTGGAAATGCGGCAAGTGTAAACTAACAGGCCAGAGATCGCCACAACCCACCGGAGAAGCAGCCATTATGGCAGAACTTAAAGCCTTGTCTGTGAAACTTGCTCCTCTGGACTCGCTTACTGCTGAGGTCAAAGCACTACGTGCCGAAATATCTGAGCTAAGAGCACAGGTCACCCTAACTAATACGTCAATAAAGGAATTTAATGACAGATGTGAGAAGATTGAAGACCGTCTTGCGCAAGTTGAAGGAGTTGGAGACCGGGTGACCATCCTTGAAGCTGAACTAAGCAAAGTTATATGTGAAGCAAACGATAAATATCAATTTTCTCGCATGAACAACGCAGAGATAAAAGGCATCCCTCAGTCCCAGAACGAGAATTTATTAGATATTATTAGCTCAGTTGGGTCTAAAATAAATTATCCCATAAATAGATCTCAGATAAACTTTGTTACCAGAGTTCCGACGAAGGATAACACCCAACCAAAACCCATAATCGTGGCGTTTATTAGCCGATACGTGAAGGAGGATTTTGTTGCAGCTGCGAGGGCGAAATCAAGGGAAGTGAAGCTCAATGCTAGTATATTTAGTTTCAAATCAAATAACATGGTTTTCGTCAACGACCACTTGACACCGTCAAATAAGGATTTGCTCACCAAGGCGAAGAAAATCGCCAAAGACAAGGGGTTTCTCTATTCTTGGGTAAAACACTCCAAAATATATTTGAGGAAAAACGACACGTCCCCAGTTATACAGGTCAAATCAGAGGACTTAATGAAAATTGTTTAAGTGAGTTTTGTATTTTTAAAGTGCGTGCTATTTATGTGTCCGAACTTGATATAATGTTGTTTTTATTTATATTTTTAATCGTCAACAGTTTGAGCATCTCCGGTAGTTGCTGTGTGAGTATTGAATTTCTTCTAAAGTTGTGTCTTCCTTGTTCAGAAACATTTAAACTGAGTAGTCGCTGTGCTAACGCTTCATGCCTGTATTTTACAACATACTGCTGTGGGCCTATTGTACTAGCGTTGAAAATTGTCTGTAGGATGGTACCGCTTAATACCTTTAATGTGATAAAGTCATTAGTTAATGACCCTATTGTTATGCTTATTGAATATACAAAGTGCATGTTATTTGAATTGAAATTTTGTGTCGCACTGTGTTTAAGTGTGCGTGGGTATCTTTTAATTAATTTATTTTTTTCGGTTGTACTATCGTTTTCTTTTATTTTTTATTTGAATATTTTCGGTAATTTGTATGTTTTTAAGTATAAGTTAAATTATTGCGTAATACGTGAAATAGTATTAAATATTTACATTTATTTTTTTGTTTTTATACATTCTCGGTTCGATAGACTGATTTTAGAAATTTTTAGTTTAAATATAAGGGTTATACTTTAAAAATATACTACCAAAACGCCAGGAGATTACGTACGAAGGTCAGTGAATTCTACAGAAACGTGTGTTTAAGTAATTACGATGTTATATGTATTTCGGAGACGTGGTTGTTGGATGGCATTATGGATAGTGAATTATTTGATGGTAGATACCTTGTCTTTCGACGCGATCGTGACTATGTTAGGTTAGGCCAAACTTTAGGCGGCGGAGTATTGATGGCAGTGAGGCACGACCTTGCCGTTATATGCATGCCTGAATGGAACAGTTCAGCGGACATCTGGGTTACTATTTTAATTAAATGTAAGAGGCCTGCGACAACTTATAAAATGCATATTTGTACATTGTACTTATGTCGGGAAGAGGGTGGTAACTCATATAAGGAACAATTATGCAATTTTTCTGATAATCTTAGTAAAATAATTTACAGTCACCCGTTAGACAAATTTGTTGTTGTGGGTGATTTTAATTTCGGTAATGACGTGCAATGGTTAAGGTCAAATGGGGAAGCCGTAATGCTACCGGCCAACTATGCTGCTGGTTATTTATCTGATTTCTTTGATCTCATTGACACATGTAATTTAAGTCAGTTTAATGGTGAATTTAATCATAATAATAGGGTGTTGGATTTAGTGTTTTCTAATGAAATATTAAACGTAAAAAATTGTATCAAACCATTGGTCCCGGAGGATTTTCATCACAAATCCCTTGATATATATGCTGAATTTGTTGATATTCACGAATTGAAACAGTTGGGCCAAATGAAGTATATTTACAATCGAGGTGACTATTCTGCAATTTCAGCCGAGCTTAGTAAAATTAATTGGAGTCAGTATTTAAGTACAGGCTCATTAGATGACGCGGTGGCCTATTTATATAAAAAAATATATGAGCTTCGTGACCAACATATACCTCGTAAATTGATTAAATCCAACTCTTACCCGCCATGGTACAATTCTAGTCTCATAAAAGCTTTAAAAGAAAAATCTAAATACCATTCTAAATATAAAACGTACGGTAACTTATCTGATTACCAATCTTTTTCTACACTGCGGAAAAGGGTCTTCGATCTTGAGAGGGACTGCTTTGAAAAGTACATTCAACACATCGAATCTTCAATTGTAGAGAACCCCAAAGCATTTTGGACGTTTGTAAAAATGAAAAGGAACAACTCGACTTTTCCTAGTGTAATGAATTACAAATCTGTGAGCGCTGACACTGGTGAAGATATAAGTAACCTATTTGCGGAGTACTTTCTTGAGACTTTCTTGGTGACTGGCCAATCGACGTGTTGCACTGTCAACATGAACTACGATAACGTTCTATGTAGCATAGGCGATATTAAAATTAATGCAATCAAGGTACATGATCTTTTAAAATCACTCGATTTAACAAAGTCGGGGGGACCTGATTTGATTCCTCCACTTTTAATTGTAAAATGTGCCGAAAGTTTGGCGGTTCCATTGAGTCTGTTGTACGGGCGATCATTGTCTGAGGGAATTGTACCTAAACTGTGGAAATCTGCCTTCATCACACCGGTCCATAAGAAAGGGAATAGATGTAATGTGGAAAACTATCGTCCCATATCCAAATTGTGTCTATTTGCCAAGGTATTGGAAAGGTTAGTTAATATAGAAGTTTATTCTAGTTTACAAAATTCATTTAGTGACGATCAACATGGTTTTCTTAGACAACGTTCCACATCCTCAAACCTGATTATTGCAAACGATTTCATTACTAGTGGGATGGAAAGAGGAGCACAGGTTGATGTAGTATACACTGATTACAAAAAATGTTTTGACCGAATAGACCATTGTATATTGCTTTCTAAACTTCAAGCAGCAGGCATACATGGTAACTTGTATCGTTGGTTTGCGTCCTATATTGATAATCGTAATCAGGCTGTAGTCTTACGGGGTTTTTTGTCACAGTGGACTAAGATACCTTCTGGTGTACCCCAGGGGTCAATTTTGGGTCCACTTTTATTTATTACTTTCATAATGGACATTAACAAATGCTTTCGTTATTCAAAATCTGTACTTTTCGCAGATGATATGAAAATCCTAAAGGTTATCAACAATTCATCTGATATCCGTGATCTGCAGGAAGATCTCTTGCGGTTCGAACAATATTGCATTACGAATAAATTAGACCTAAATGTAACTAAGTGCTTCTGTATGACTTTCTCTCGTAAAAATAACAAAATAGAATCTAAATATATACTCCATAATCACAATTTAACTAGAGTCAATAATATTCAGGATTTGGGTGTCATACATGATAGTAAATTAATCTTTAAAGATCATATTGATCATATTGCAAGTAAGGCTTCAAAGGCCCTCGGGTTCGTTATCCGTATGTCCAACGATTTGAAATCTTTGAAAACCATTAAAGTTTTGTACTGCGCCTTCGTGCGTAGTCATCTTGAGTACGCTTCCTGTGTATGGAATCCCCAATACAACATCTATATCACGCGATTAGAGAATATACAAAAAAGATTTTTGCGATTTCTTGATTTTAAGACCAGACAACAGTCCGTGGATTACGAACACCGTTGCAAGCGGTATCATTTTCTGCCTCTTCAAGTGCGTCGTGAAGTGAATGATCTTTGTTTTCTATCCAAATTGGCTAATGCTGGCATTGACTGTCCGGAATTATTGTCTAAAATCGGTCTCCGTACTAACTCATTGACTTTGCGGCGTCGCCCGTTGCTTCACATTCCCATAGCTCACACAAATTATAGACAAAACACATTCATGATACGCGGCTGTAGTACCTATAACAGGTATGACACTGAATATGACTTTGATTTGTTTGAAACAAGCACAGCAACTATTCGAAGAACTATAACTTTGAATTATTTTGGACGGTATTAATTGCAGGTGTGCTCAAGCTGCATATTTCGTTATGTGTTCATCATTGTTTAATTTACTATAATGGCTTAACATTGCAAAATTTTCCGGTTTTTCTTTTCTTTTCTTTGGTCTGTATAAATAGTAAACTATAAATAAAGCTCTTAATTTGCTATTTTTGATATGCATAAGTGGAGGTTTGTAATAGGCTCTTTGATGTTGTTTAGTTTGTATTTTATATTTTGTATTAATAGCTGTAAACCTTCCTAAAATAAATAAATAAATAAATAAATACGACTAGTGCTTGAAATCTGGACTCCGACGAATCTCCCATACACTACGACTTTGCTTTGAAATCTGGACTCTGACGAATCTACCATACACGACGACTAGGCTACGGAAAACTTTACTGATCTCGGTTGCAACATCATCTGGGTTTCGTTGATTTTCGATTTAAACAAAACAAAATGTCACCGGTCAAATGTTCGTATTTTATGTGCAATTACGCATTCAAACAAAGATCCATGTTTCGGTTCCCAATAAGCGATCGAGCCCGTTTAAAAGTTTGGATAAATAATTGCGGTAAGTCTTTCTATATCATGTACCAGCTAAATATGTAATTGAAAAAAGTGTTGAAAACCAGGTTTCAATGTAGGTTTTCAGATTTATTTAATTTTATTATTTCATTATAATGAATAAATTTTTGTTTTAGGTAACATGACCATAATGAATTACAATGAAAATATACTCCGTAACAGATACCTCTGTAGTGAGCATTTCGACAAAAAATATATCCAAAATGAAAGTGGACAAAGAAAGAGGCTGTCGAAATTTGCAATACCTTTGCACTATAAAGATGATGAATGTAGCAGCAGGTCACATTCACCAGTTCCATCAACATCAAAAGGTAAACCTTTTGGTTTCAGTACCAACACTGTATTACTTGAGTGAACATGATGATGATGAATTACTTGAGAAAAAAAATTCATAAAAAAGTTATATGTATTCTTATACATAAATAATTTGTATTCTACTTCACTTGAAACTTCAATAATAAATGATGTTACATGGGATGGAAATCATTCCATCATCAGCGCATAACTTGATGATCATCATCGCATCAGCGCATAACTTGAATTTTAGCAAAGCCTTCTTCTGCTGTTACTATCAAAAGTAAAATGAACATATTAATTTGATAATGAACCATTTTTAATATATTGTTTTTTTTAATATAAATATGTAAGTGCGTATTTGACCTCTATCTCACCTGATGGCAAGTGCATGCACACCTAAATAATGCCTATTCACTCTCGCCTTGAAAAGGCACAAGTTATAATGTTCAGGGTACAAGTTTCTGGGAAGGGTATTCCACTCCATAGCCATTCGCTATATAAATGTGGAATCGTAACGCTTTGTGTCAATCTTTGGAATATCCACAACATATGGGTGGAACCTAAGCCTATGTCTAGTCCCCCGTGATGGAAAGGGAAAAATTAAATTGTGCCATTCCATTGCACACTCTCCATGGTATCTGCTAAAGTTTTCATATTCATAAAATTTTAACTTATATTAAAATTTATACTTTATTTAGGCATTGTTATTATTCCGAGACTAGTGGGTTAAGTTAGTGAGTAAATGTGTTTGATTTATTTTTTTGTTTTAGTGCAAACTTCGTCACCTCTGAAAGTAATGACTCCTAAAAAGTTATATAGCAACAAAATGGTAAAAGAAAGGCTTCAACCCAAGTCACCTAGTGAAACCACAGTAGATTTTAGTACACCTAGAAGAAGAAAAAGGACTTCAGTTGATAATGATACACCAAGGTGTAAAAAATTAAAAATTAGTATAAAAAATTCAAGTAAATTATTAAAAAAACAAAAAAATAAATATAATAGGCTAAAAAAGAATTTACTGAAAAAAAATTGTGTCAACTTAAAAACACATAAATTTAAAGGAGATTTGGCGAAAGTGTTTACATGCATGCAATTTAAAAATAAAAGTAGACAATGGAATGAATATGAAAAAAATTTTTGCTTATCTTTATATTATAAGTCTCCAGCTACATATAAATATCTTTTAAAAGGAGGCCTGGTCCTAGCTGCTCCCACTACAATCCAAAATTGGCTCCAAGCTACAGATTGTCTGGCAGGTATTAATGAAGATGTTTTTCGTAATATTCAAATGAAATTTGCTGATCAACCAATTAAAGAAAAAGCCTGTGCTGTATGTTTTGATGAAATGAGTATCAAGACTGATTTGGAATATACAAAAAAATATGATTTGATTGAAGGATTTGAAGATTTTGGTGGTGGTGAGCGTTCCTCCAAGGAAGCTAAGTATGCACTGGTGTTTGTTGCCAGAGGGATTTACATTAATTGGAAAATCCCTCTGGTATATTTCTTATCAAATCAGAATGTCATTGCTGAAAAGTTAATAATAATTATTAAATCCATAATTAATAAATTATTTGTGATTGGATTATTGCCAAAAGTAATTATATGTGATCAAGCAACAACCAATGTCAAGGCAATCAAATCCTTGGGGACAACAAAAGATGATCCTTTTTTTTTATTGAGAATCGCAAAATATTTTCTATCTATGATGTTCCTCATTTGATTAAAAATATAAGAAACAATTTACTTGATAATAATTACGATTTAAATGGCAATGAAATTTCGTTTGATGACATAATCAAGGTTTATAATATTGATAAAAGTAATAAAAGTCGATCTTTGGGAAAATTGACCCCAGTACACTTGAAGCCAAACAGTTTCCAAAAAATGAAAGTTAAGTTAGCCACACAAGTATTTAGTCGAACAGTAGCGGCCGCGATGGAGACGGCGATAGCCAGTGGAGAGCTGAAGAGTGACACCGTAAAGAATACAGTTGATTTTGTGAGAAATGTGAATGATTTGTTTGATTCATTAAATTCAAAATGTAAATTTGATAGAAATCCATTTAAATGCGCAATCACTGAAAACAAAGATTCTTTAGTTCATAAAACGTTAAGTAAAGGAAACGAAATGTTCAATCAATTGAAAAAAGTTACGATTTCCAAAAAAAATTAGAAAAAATTGACGATTCCTCCCTGTTTTGAAGGCATACAGCAATCAATTAACGCTGTACTTCAGCTCGCCACTGAGGAATTTTCACAAGGCACTGAAGTCAAATTTCTTATGACAAATCGATTAAATCAAGATGTAATTGAATATTTGTTTGGAATTTATAGAATGCGAGGTGGTTGTAACAGGAATCCAACATCAAAAAATTTAAGGTCCATGTTCCGATCAAATTTACTAAATAATTTAATCAAATTAGATAATACAAATTGTGAAATTGATCAAAGTCACTTTTTAAACACAGCTGAAGCTCAACAGCAAAATACACAACCTGAAATGTCATCATCGTCGACATTGACACACCCAATTGCTGGTCCATCAAGTGCAGTCGCCTTGCCCGTTATTTCCTCCCCACCGGTTCAATCGTACACATCTCAAGGTAATCTAACCGTTATACCCCAAGAAATAACACTGGAAACTTGTTCTGTTGTGTATTTTGCTGGCTGGCTAGGCAAAGTGACAATAGATAAATTTGATTGCTCAATGTGTAAAGGAATTTTGATTAATAATGAAGTTGATTTGGCTGATAAGAAGCAATTGTTGTTGATTAATAAAACATATTCAAATTTGACAACACCAACACTTAAAGCCCCAACTGATTTTTTGTACTGCTTAGCAAATGAAATGCTTGATTTATTTAATAACAGCATCAATATGATCCACAAAACTGATTTGGTGGCAAATTTAATGAAAAGTGCTAAGTGCATTATAAACCTCCCAGATGATTACCATGATTACACTCATATTGATTTTTTAATAACCCAATTCTTTGTAGTTAAAATTCACGATTATTGTAAATCAAGAAATAAATCATTTCAAGGACGAGCCAAATTAAGAATTCTCTAACATAAATAAGGAATTCAATGATGAATTGTTGAGCCCCGCATTCGGGAACATTTAAAAAAAGGTTTCGCTTATTGATTGTCAACTTGCTGCACTCGGCGATGGTCCTCGAGCTAGTGCGGTGACCAGGCTCTTGAGGTGTGGCATATTATATCTGCATTAGCTAAGCAATGGGGTCCACATATCAATAAATTATCGAAACGGCTTAGCTCTGCAGTGTACGCGATTAAAAAAATACGAAAACTGTCAGACGCCAAAACAGCTAGATTGGTTGAATTCATCTACTTTCACAGTTTAATGACATACCGCATTTTGCTTTGGGGTAATGCTGCTGACATTGACTTACGCCGATATTAATAGAACAGTATTTTTTTTATTCAAAATAGTGACAGACAACATTAACACGAGAAATAAAAATAAACTAGCTATTCTTGACAATTTTCTTTACAGTCATAAATTCATTTAAGGGGCAATGTATAAGCTTCAAAGGTTACTTTATTGTACAGCGTCTGCGTACTTGGATGACAAGAACCCGTGGTAGTGACCCGTTAAGCTCTTGCTGGTAGTCTCAATCTAAGATGTTTGAAATAAATATTGTAAATGTTAAAAGTATTCAAATGTATATTAAAAGAGTAGAGTAGAGTTTCTTGCTCATTCTTCTCGGGGGACTCTGCCTTACGAATGAGCAGTAGACTTTAATCAATACGACGATTTCAAGTGTAATTTGCTTACTTATGAAATAAAGGTGATTTGAATTTGTAATGAGAGTGATAATAAAACCGTTGCGCAGTGAACATGTTTTCTTTCAATAAGTCCACAATTCCCACATTTCTCATGGCGATCCAGGAGTATGCACTAATCTTTGTCCACAGACCTGCCATTTTATGTTTTGACCTCTGGTCTCTTAGCAACTATTCGAAATCAGAGGTCAAAAAATGTTGGCGTCGCAAGCTTATCATACATATCCAGTACCTTCCCATCTGATTACGAAGTTGTTACGAGTCCAGGGGTAAATTGTAATTGTTTGATCACGCTATAGTCACAGACGTAAATTTGAAAATACCGAGACTGGCAGAAGTGCCATGTGATGTCGAGAGTCATTGATAATACCACAGATTTCTTACTGAACTACAGAGTTCACATTATGAGAGTGTGAGCGTGCTACAGTTCACTCTAATGTTTTAAAAAGTTAACTAAATAATACAGTTCACTCTAATGTTTTAAAAAGTTAACTAAATAATACAATTGGTACGTACTAAAACATATGAAATTTCTGTTATATAATATATGCCCTAAAATATTATCTTCTTCCTAACTTTAATTTACTGAGATATTTGACTTCAAGAACAAGGGTAAAATATTGTGTCACACACCGTCTAGATAGGTAGTGTACCCAACTGATATCTTTTACATAGGTACATTATTTAATAAAAAGCAATAGTTTAGTAAAAACCAGTAACGTGGTTTTATTTCCGTACACAATATGTGACAGACCTTACTATGTGGTTTTACGTAATTATGTATCTACGTAAATTTTAAAGACGCAACAGGCCTAAGTTTAAATCTATTCATCAAATCAATCTAGCTAGTGATAAATGAAAACGCCATCTAGTTACTATGCAGGGTAATAAGCTTTCTACCTCCTACTTTGACGTCGCGTTATAGTCGCCATCTAGTGTACCATAAACGAATCAAAATAGCTAGCAGAAGCTAAAAACTTAGCAGGGACTCATTTTCTTGTATGGGACTGTGTATCTGTATATTCTGTAATCTGTGTCGTCATAAATAGTTCCGAGTAAATCTGTGTAAATCTTCTAATTGTTTTGTACCGTACACTAATTGGCAGGAACAATAAAAGTGTGACAACTGAATTATAACGGAGTGTTGACTTTATCTGGAATCCCCGTAATGAGCACGTTAAATCCAAGTAGTTAATAGGGCCACCCAGCATGTTCCTAAACGACCTTTTTCTGACTAATCAATATTCAAAAACTTGACCATAGTCACGCTGGAATATGACACGCCCCCCAATCCCCTACAAAGTGTAGACCGGCGGGGTTCAAGTTTTCAGTGGTCGCCTTAACGGTCGATCGTTTATGTTATCTGACAAGTAGCAATCGCAGACAATATTGAAAAACAATTGTACTCAATTAAGTTTTTATTGAATGTTAGAATGTTTCTCTTTTCTCTGTTCTTTTACTACCACGATATTCAATATTATTTGTGAAAATACTTCGCTAGTTTGTTATAATTATTAATACAAATATTAACACTTACAAAAAATTCCTTTAATCCGGCCGGATTCGAACCGACGTATCCTAGCAAACCGTGCCAAACGCTAAGCCACGGAACGAATAAACGGATCTCAAGAATTTTTCTATGTGCTTGTTGTAATTTTAAAGACAGGCAAACGGCGAAAACAATTCGAATTTTCAGTAAATTTTACGAACGGCGCAGTCGCCGTTTCTTCTGTTTTTGCCAACATTTTTCATACATTCGATAATGGCGAATGAAAATTTTACGGAAAAGGGCGAGACGGGTTAAATAGGTATTTAGAATTACAATTATAAAGTTAAATAGGTAATTTGTATTTAAAACGGGCAAGGCCAAATTACCACGGTAGGGACGCTACACATTATCGTACTATTTCGATACCATACAAACAAAACATGTTTTAAATAATCGAACACGAACGGTTAATAATCGAACAGTTAACACAGCTGCTGCGGCCGCGCCGTTGAGGTGGCCGTTTTCGTTGTAGACGACAACACGAGGACGAGACGACATCTGGCGAGTTGGTGTTACTATTTAGTAAGCTACCCTAAACGCGCGCGTGATGCAGTCGATTGCGCCGGGCGGCACAGTGCGCAGCAGGCAGTTCCTTTACAACCTGCGAGGTGGCGCTTTAGGATT